CAAGAGAGGAAGACTTTGAATCATCTCTCGATGTACTGCAAGAAGTTTCAGAATATTGATATGCAGGGTAAATTCGTAGTCTGTCCAAATACCCTGGAATTCCTGTCCCTGAAGAAAAGCACCCCATCTGTAAAGAGAAGGATTTCCTATTGAGGAGGCGGTATCCGAACCCAAATGAGTGTTGAAAAACAACCCTAGATTGACCAGGTATTGAGTTGGTAAGAGAATGGATATTTCCAACCTGATAATGAAGCCTGCCCTTCTGGCTGTGAAAAGGAGAATCTGGGTATTTTGTTTGGCAATGTGGTGGGTTGGTGCTAAAAAAAATCCAATCATCATATAATGATGTATGCACAGACCCAGAGAATGGAGATGCAGAGCAAAGGCCCGTACTACTCAGCATAAGACATAAGGTGCTGAAGCAAGTCCAAAAGGGAGAGCTCAGAACTGTAACACCTGTTCCACATGCACAAAACATAAAAATTGATGAAAAGACTCTGCTACGGAAATGTGAAGATAGGCAACTGCAACATCAAACGACCTGGTGTGAAGTGCCATTGAAGTTGAAGAAGAGATTCCATAGTGAAACGAGGAGGCTGAAGGAAATGATTGAGTGTAGATAGATCGATGATAGGATGCAATCTCCAGTTTTCTTGGGCACCAGAAATAAATGAGAATAGAATCCTGGATGAATGGGAACGACCTTCTCGATGGCTCATTTGATGAACAGCTCCTGAATGACTCAGGAACGAAGGTCTGCAGATCTGAGGTCTGAAGGAGGAGAAAAAAATGACTGGATGGGAGGACAGAGGAGAGGGAGAAGTAAACTTAATTTTGAACCCTATATCCAACATTCTGAGAACCCAAGGACTGATGGTGAAGGAATGCCAAATGTAGTGAAAGAGATGTAACAGTCCTCCCACAGGATTTGGGGAAAACAGGTAGTCACCGACACTGCTGGTGCCATCACGATTTGTCCAAAGATACCCGAGGATATGTACAGAAATGATTATGATAACCAATAAGATGTGGAGTTGAATAAGGGAGCCATGAGACACAAACAGTCGATCCTACAGAAGTACCCATTGGAGTAGACAAGAGGCAAGTACCCAATAACATTAAATAAGACTGCAAATGTGGTTCAACAATTTAGGCTACTAAAGATTCTGGAATTCCAGCAAACAAGTAAGGCCAAAGAAAAGGTTTCTCCCATAAATCATGAAGAGCAGTGGAGGGCAAATACCCTCGAATAAGGCATCACAATTCAATAAGTCCCAGCAACAGACCAACCATGAAATCAAGGTGAGGCTTGAAGATGACAAACACATCATAGTAGCAATCAGTAAAGGACCCAGTTCATCCTCAAATAGATATAGAGAGCAGTGATATGCTTCAGACAAAAGATGAAGGGAACAGAAGTAATGTAAAACAGAGGTAAGAATGAAACAAACCTGCAAAAATTGAGACCTGTTAAGAGTGATAACAGGTTCTAACCTGGAACCCCATAGATCCAACTGTTGAGTGTCCAAATATACATTATCCTGAAGATGATAAGACAGGGCACGTTGTTCAGATAAACGAGGGGAAGGCATAGTGACACTTTCACATATTTGTGTTGCAAACCTCCCTGAATCCACAGCAATATCAGGGGAAGGAGGAAGAACTGACGTCGATCAGACAAAAAGGCAGGGGCATACTCAAAAGCAACAGGGTTAATCCCAAAACTTCACAAACTCACATAACTAACTGCAGAAAAGGGGCAGAAGGTGGCTAATTAGATGATCCCTCAGTAGAAGGAGCCCTAGCAAAAGAAGGAGCAGGAAACAGTCTGAATTCTCCCCAGAATATTAAGGTTCATGATGAAAAGCCAAATGAAAACCAACCTGGAGAGACACCCCTAGGCCCCAAAAGGTGAAAGGACAGCTTTCACCAACAGCCGACTGTTGACTACCATCAGATAACAAAGGAGGAATGGACGAGGGCTGGTTAGCCTCCATGCCAGAAACTGTGACACGGGAATTCATCCCCACTTTTTCCCTATAACTGCAGAAGAAAACCAATGAAATCTAAGCAATGGGGAACAAACCAAAAGAAAACCAGACTATTATGAAACTGAACTGATGAAAATCTACACCACAGACGTGACTCTCAATGCACACACACTTTGTCCAGAAAAATGATTATATTGTCTGCATACAGTGCTTATATACAGTACCTGCATAGAGAGCATGTGAGGACTGATGTCAAGTTTTGCAAATTAAATATTGCAGAGGGCAGTCGAGTGGGGTACATAAAGACTGGAGCACGCCAACAAAATGTTAGATGGCAAAGATGGAGATAAGAGAAATAGCTATAAGCTTCAGCAGAGGTATGTATGTTTTGGAATTCTATAAATCTATATTTTTTTCCCCTTTAAAACCTTAATTCCAATTGGTTTAGAGTTGGCACGTATTCTTACACCCAGGTTGTTGGTCCAGTCAGCAACCATATAGGCTAAACATGTTTGATGATGGGGATTCAAAGTCTTGACTTTCAAATTGTGAGCCGAGCAACACCAAAGCATGCCAGGCCCTTAGATATCTGTAGTGATATATATATATATATATATATTTGGGTAATTTTTCTAAATATCCATGCAGGTGTTCTGCATATAGTTATGCCATCCTGGAAATCGTAAAAGTCATTTAATGCTCCCAGCAACAATTTTACTCACCACTCATGATTTTTCTGCAAACTACCATCTTTGACTACCAAAATTAAACAAACAAATTTGAGATTATATTAAAATATGATTTTTCGATTTGTTATAAACATGCCTATGAGACAAGTAGGCAGGGGCAGATGGCCAACTGCTGTGAGCAAGAAAACAGTTGTTTTGCAAGGGGCTAGACAAAAACCTTGTGAGAAGTTTAAAGCTGATGTAAAAGTGACCTCTTCATGGAAGAACTCCTTAAATTAAGCAGGCCAAAGAGGGACAAGAAATTGGTTCAAGGGTGATAGATTTATCATAGGTCACCAATCTTTCACATTCTTGAGAATGACAAAAAAGAAGAGAGTAAAACCCCACAACATTTCTCATTTGGAGAGGTAAGGAGTCTGAAGGGGTAGAAAGGCTACAAGAGAATGGGAAAGAGGGGGTTCATAGTAAGATGTCAGGGTAAAATCCATGAAAAAGCATCTGCATGATCCAATGGTCTTCTACGTAAGGAGTCCACAAGTGTGTGAAAAAAGGAGAGCCAAACAACCAACAGATTGGAGCTGATGGTAGTCACCCCTGAGAACTGCAACAGCCAGCCCTTTGAGAGGGAGTATGTTGGAAAGTAGAGGATGAGAAGCAAATGAGAGGGTGACTATAGGGCTCTTAAGGACAAGAAAGCTGTTTGAATCTCCTAGAAAATCAGGAAACCAAAGTGATCAGAAATGAATGCCTCAAGTCAAGTTTCCCCATGTATAGGAAACTAACCCAAAATCATGTTCTGAAGGAAAGGAAGGTGCAAACAGAGATTCCTGAGATAAGATGAAGGAAGACAAACTCTAGAAATTAAGGCATTCTGACTATGTAAATCTGAGAACTGGGACAATGTGGAAGAAAAAATCAAGGCCAAGATGAGGAATGGGTAAATCAAATTTCCTCAGTGAAAAAAGAAGTTAAAGTGCATGCAGTTAGCAAAGAAAATGAGCAAGTGAGAAATGAATATGATTACATTGAAGGTAAGAGAGAAACAAAGAAGGAGAAAGAGAAGATCTCTATGTTGGAATAAGAGACTCAAGGGGATTGAAGCTTGATAAAGTATGAAGAACCTAGCAGCTGAGATTTAGTATGAAGTTGAGACAAAAAAAGTATTGTTATGAACATGAATATGAGGAGAGGAGACAAAAATGAAGAAAGTCAGAGGAAGGAGGCTCTTGCAACAAGGTAGTGCAAGATTTAGCAAAAACAACAAAGAACAAAGGTTGGACAACCTGATCCTTGTTGGAAAGTGATGAACTAGGATCAAAAGCTGGTGGTAGTATCAGCTGGTCAAAATTGTCAAAAGCAACACCAACTAACCACTTGGTGCATAATTGCAGTTACAACAGGGACAGGCAGGGTGCCCCCAGTAGCAATTATAGAAGAAGATGACTCTTACTGAGGAGTGTCACCTTGGGAAGTGTTAAAAAATTGGATATACTAAAAACTTATTTAGCTTATTTGAATCAAATTTATTTTGTACTTGAGAGCAATCAAAATAGAATAAGGTGAATAGGATTTTAGGTTAAAGTAACAACCTCAATGCAAACATCACATAATTCTGAAGAAAAAGAACAGGTAAATAATGCAGTGCCAAGTAAAAGAATGAGCCTTTACTATACACATTGTGTTCAAGGGGAGTAATTGTACCTGCATCCAAACTATTCTATAATTCTCACATTGGTTTTCTTATATGTATGGCAACTTATAGTGTTTGTTTTGATATTATTGTATAATAGAAATAGGCCATAAACATTCTTCAAAAACTGCTTGCTTCTACACAAAACTGATTGCTATTATCTTGTACCATTGCAAAAAGGTTTTGTGTATGGCTCAAGCCTTTGAACAAAATGGAAACCCCTATACTTATTAAAGTGCACTGCACCAATCTATGATCCAATCAGCATTAGACAGTCATCTTCCAATAGGAGGGTGACACATCCTCTTTACAAGAAATAAGTTTTAGCACAAGTTACTTGTTTTTATACTTAATGTTTCTATCATCTGTAGTGCAAAAAACTGGATTAGTTTACCTAAGGCAAAAAATAGGAAAACTTAATAATGCAAAAATATGTGTAACTAAAAGTAAAAAAGGGAAAAAACATTTTCAAAATTATATTAAGATTTTTCAAATAAATGATTGATGCTACAAAAAATTCAACTAAACAAATAAAATATATTTGTTGTTACAAATTGTAAAGGAACATTGTAATGAGTATAAATTGTGAATATTTTTACAAACAAAAATCATACTATAAATTTAACTTACTTCAGACCTATGACCTCTCAAATTGTAGTTTGTTCGTGATGGTAATTCCATGGTTTTTCGACAATGACAAGTCGTAAAAGTAACCCCAACAACTCCTCTTGTGTTACCTGTGGCTAACCAACCATCTTGATAGTAGTTTACTCTGTTCAACTTCCAGCCATCTTCATCAGGAAGTTCATCAGGTACTTTACCCATCCATGTTAGAGAAAGTACTTTGCAGTCAGCCTTAGTGTTAGTGGAACGTTCAAAGTGGAGGAACATGATCTCCTATAGTTTTATCAAAGCTAACTTGAAGGCTTGAAACAGGAAGCAGTGATGTTAGATATACTGATATATTTAAAACAATCACTAAGTTTGACATAAATACAAAATTTTACATCCACATTTAAAGCCATTTTTCAACTTGCCCTTCCAAAGATTTTCTTTCTTGTTTGCACAATGAGATCTTTCTTCAAAGAAGCTTCTGGCTATCATCTGAAAATAAAGTCAACATGAACACTTAATGCTAGTTACTATTAACCAATTAACATGCTGTTAAAAATCAATGAAAGCAAATAAAATAATTGAATCATTTTTTTCTTTAAATTTGCCAAATGTAAAAATAATGCAATGGCAAAAATGGGGTACTTATTATTTACCTACTTTGTAAACATTCAACAAAGAAAACTATGCAACACAAACCATTGTAGCATCTAAGTAAACAATACAGTTGAAACTTGCTAATATAGTTCATATTGTCTGATCAGTCCCAGCAGTGTTTACAATTTTGTTTATACAAAAAAATAATTATAAAATACTCAACAGACTTAACTACATCCTTACAGGTGCAACAAAACAGTACCTATGTTCAGTATTCTTATTGATAAATCGTTTCTAATTAAACCTTTTTTACTCAGATTGTACACTAATATCATTTGACTCATTTTATATGTATTTCTCATGCATAATTTAATCTAAAAATTATGAATCCATCAGCAAGTACCTGTTGAAGAGCTGAATACAGTAGTTACATTACCTCACTATTCTTTAAAATTCAATAAAAATTTATAGGCACATTTTTATTGCATTTTGGGAAGTAAAGCTTTTAATGTTGATATTGAAATTTTATTTAACTTCACTTACACAACTTACTAAAGCTTCCTCTAAATTGCTGAAGAAGTTTATGTTCTAATTCAAATACTGTTCTTATGTTACAATTCTTCAAGAACAAAGTATCCAATATACCCAATATTAGTTAGTTGTTTGTAACATAAACAAAAGCAATGAAAACAAGTTGAAAGCATAAAGCCAAAATTTATTTGATAGCCCAAATTGTGACTCCTTAATACAATATTGTTTGTACTCAATTTTATTAGATACTGATATAATTGAAATTAATATGTCCACTGTATATTATCTGTAAAATTTTGTATAAAGAAAACTAATTTCTAATGTGTAATATTTTAAAACATTTTAGTATCGTAGTATATGAATATACCATACATTTCTATTTCCTTGTAATATTATATTGTATATTCTGAAATCATTCTTCATTCTACATATTAGTTGGTTTTGTTCTAGCTGCCTTTATTCTTTTTTTATTCTGCTGTGGATGATACCTATTTTACCAACCAAAGTAATAAAATTCCAGTTCTAGCCAAAACTGGAGAGACACTGAAAGTTCAGTTGGTGGGTGACATCTGCCAATTGGAGCTATCTCAGCAGCAGGTGAGACAGCAGATACTGAATAGAAAAGAGTGGACAATGGGGAAGTGATGAGTTTCCAAGAGCTGGAAGATATACTGCTGAGATAGCCAGGAATCACAGAAGAGTTTGGGGTTGACCAGAATCAATGAACAAGCTGCTGAGCTCAATTCATCTTTCTGCTACTCATAAGTGTTGGGGTTTCTTAAGAGTCCCTAGAATGCTGTGGCCACGAAGTTGAGGACATCTCAGTCAGGTGATGATCAGGAAAGATAGTATATTGCCGCAATCATGGTTCCCCATGAGCAATAAAAACAGATCATTCTACAAAAGGCATACAACAAAGATGGATTTAGACTGTTTCCTAAAATGTTTCAGGCAGGTAACTGCCTGGAATGACTAGACTCTAAAACATGCTGTACAAAGCCTAATTGCGAGTTTAAACAGACTAAGCCAAGAATCCATCAAGTAATTGAACGAGCAGCAACTCTGGGATTGCAAGATAGTCATTACTGAGTGCAAAGTGCTTTGCTCATGGAGTGTTGGATCACTTTCAAGTGAACTGCACATACCTTGCCAAGCAGGAAGGTAGACTAAGCTAATGCTTTCGGTTGATGGTACAGAAGAGCCAACAGTAGGCAGTGAATGCTGGTCCAACAGCTCCAGAAAACTAAAGAGGTCCAAGTAGTCAAGTTAAACCAGACACCCTTAAACAAACATACTTTCTCGAAACAAGTATGATGCTTAGCCTAGTTCTCTCGGTGCTGGGGAAATCTTGGTATGTGCATTTCAGAGTACAAGTGCAAAAAAGATTGGTTGATACAAGAGCAGCTAAACACATGTAGATCTCAGACTCATGGTATATCAGCCATTCTGAAACCATCACATGGGTCAGTGAACATGAACTTTGTTCTGGTGAAAGGAGATAAACTAGATGTGAATGGAGAGGTTATGTTCCAACTACGTCTATGAAGTTACACTTTGAAAATGACGATAGTTGATTCCACTTGTGAATGAATGCCACAATTAAAACTTTGAAAGCATCATGAAGAGAAATGAAAGACCGATATCTAGTGTGGCTACTCCTTGGCATGCAGCAAGGTAAATTGTGACAGGCTCAGACATAGGAGCATAGTATGGATACACATAAAATCAGGAACTCATAGGAGCAATTATGAGTGCAAGAAGATGTGTTGTGCCATTATTATCAGCCATCAAGCAGTGGTTCTCAGTCTGTGTTACAGAGTTTTGGGGGGCACAATATTAGAGTACAGATACTCAGCACTGGTGTAAACACTGTACAGTATGTGCCAACTTTAACAGAGAAATTCCAGCAAAAAAGGTATTGGTTTTCCTCTAAAAAGAATAGCATTGAATATCAGTGGTTCACTCCCAGAGATGTAATCAGTTCATCAGTAAATATTTGTGATCATCAATTACTCCATCAACCAATATGTCCACACAATCAGTGGATGATGCACTGGTGGAGAGCTGGATAGCCTGGCTTGGAACACCTAAAGAAATTCACTCAGATCAGGGAGTTAACTTAACCAGCCAACTGTTCTCTGAGTTGTATAAAGTGCTGGGTGTGGGGAAGATGCACACTTCACCTTATCACCCCAATCTGATGGATCAGTGAAATGGTTGATACAGGCTGTCAAAGATACCATGCAATTGAACAGAAATCAACAAGTTGTTCTCAGAATGTGCTCATGTTGAGTCAAAAGGTCTTGCTCCTGTAGATGTGATGTACAGTCTTCCAACCTCAAGAGGCCATCTCACAATACACACACAAACATGAGTGGTTAGGTGGTTAAGGCCTACATTAGTTGCCATGCACGACAGGGCAGGCTGCCATATGATAGAAGAAGTGATGCAAGAAGACAGTGGAGACTAGGTAAGGCTTTGATATGAACCAGTAGCATAAAGGCCTCTTACCTCTGGCTAGACAGGGTCTGATCTGCTCTGACAAGTTGGTCTATTAATGCATGAGTTACAAACATTGAGGGACAACCAGCTGCATCCATACATAATCAGTGAACTTCTGGTGAAATGGCTTGAACAAGAGTTGAAAGAGAAGATAGTTGATTCAGATGAGAATGAAACCACTGTTTTACCCCACTCCAACCATGAAGATGAGGAGAAAAGAGCTGAGAGTACTGACCTGGTTGTTCATGATGAGTCAGATGGGGAAGTGACAAATCTAGAGGCAAGACATAGCTCTTATGGTCCATGAAACCACCTTTCCAATTGATATGGCTGGGATTAACTCCACTCATCACCAGTTAGCACAGTCAGTGATTATACAATCACTGACTGAAAAGAAGTGTCAATCTTTGCTTTCCAAGCCATAAGTGATGTTCACCATACAATGTATATATATTATATTGTGTGATTTTCAAAACTAGGTACAATGCTTAGTGCATCACTAGTTTGCCTGACTGGAGATAAAAGCTAATAGTTCAAAAACTCAGCTGAAAAGGAATTACAACCCTTGCTTTCTAAGCTATCGGGTTGGACTGTAAGGAACAGTGTATACTCTACATTGTATGATACCACTTGAATAAGTTAGAACTCTTCATTGATTGCGAGGTGAATGGGACCAAAAGAGACTGCAACCATTAATTTCCAAGCAATTGAGCAGTGTTTCACTATAAGATATCCTTATAAGATATTGGATGATAGCTGCTCCATTAACAAGGTTTTAGGGCAGCTAGAGCCAGGAGATGTAATGCCTTAAGCATCAACAGGTTTCAGTAACTCAACTGAATGGGCTTTCTGATCTTAGCTTTCAGAGCTACTAAGGCATTTTTCACAAAAGAGCACTCGCCCGGTCTATCTGAGTGGTGACAACTGTATGGAAAATATCTGTTCTCGCTAAATCTTTTCCAGCAAACCTGAAAGGCATATAACTTCTCCATGTGCAAAAAGAATTACATTTCATCTTTAGATATTGATTTCAATTTTAGTAACATCACAAAAGTTAATCTTAATTTATTAAGATTTTATCCAAACAAAATCTTAGGTTAGATTTATTTTAGTGATTATTTAATGATATATGAAAAAATAAATTGCAAGCTATTAGTGTATGTGACATGTAATGGAGATAAATGGATATATGGAATATATTTGTCTAGATAAAACATGTGGATAGTAAATTTTAATGACAGGATCAGAATAATGAAAATACTTGCACTGCATATGAGAAAAAACATAGTTTTACCCATTGTTTTATGATAAGTGTAGTGCATAATATTTTGATTGGATTGAATCTAAATGTTAGTGAGTAGATAAAATTATCTGTAGTATGTGAAATTCATGGACGAGAAATATAAACTTGGTATACCTAATGTTTTATATGGAATACTTTTGGACATGCAGATTGAAATATTATTAATAAGTACAGTTTTATTGTACATTTTCTTAACATTGTTTCAGTAAAAGATGTAGTACTAATGGATGAAAATGTAGGATGTAAATATACTACAGGAGGTGAAAAGTAACAAGCATGTTGTGAGAGCTTTGTAAGTCACACCAAAACTAGTAATAAACTTGTAATTAAAAGAGCATCTTTAAAGAGAGACATTATAAAATGTTAGTGAATTCTAAAGATCAAAAATAGTAGTAGGTTTTGCATCACCTAAGTCAGCTTTTGTGAGAACCAGTTTTGCATTCTTGACATCCATTTCTTCCTACTGGATCCAGGCTCTATTTATCTGATAACCAGACAAGGTACAGAGTTATGACCATCTCTAAAGCATTTCATGACAGCCTTCTTTCAACCTATAAAT